TTCAGCTTCACCTCTAGCTGCGATCCCTTCTCGGTGATACACGCCGCTGCGAGTTCGATCAAGTCAGGGACAAAATCTTGACACGCGTTGCCAAGAATACTCTGCTTTGTCGTGTCGCGACGATGGAACTTGTCAGCATGGAGGGCATCGTTGACGATCAACAAGAGATCCATCCGGTTGCGCGCTGCTTTCTTCGCTAGCGCTGGAGTGCTCTGATCTACTACGACAGACTTTGAGACAGCGATGAGATACGCGCCGAGGGTGGTGATCCGAGCCTTGGAGGGAGCTACGTGCTTCACAATCCATTCTGTGCATTTCTACGAGCGGCGAATTAGTCTGCTCCCGGTGACATGTGATCGCGGTCTTATAGTTAGATACCTGGATATTGATGGGCGAGTTCTGCTGAAGAACGGCATCAACGTGGTTGAAGAGCTGAGAGCTAATTTCGACTGCAATGGGCGCTGAACGATCTTCGGCATCGGAATCCTTCATTGCCTGCTTGAACTTCACCTGCGCAATCGTTAGACCTGACTTGCGCTTAGCATCATCATTTGGCGCCATGTTTGGCGACGTGAGGTTGCGACAATGGGTTCGTGGTGGGGAAGGAGGTCGGCATGGGTGTCGCGAGGGTGTTGATGTTTCCACCTGGGCAAGCTTGCGAACGCGAACGACGCTAAGCTAGCGCGCCTTCCGCATCGTTCACCCCGCCATCGGCCAAGGCAATCACAGAAATGTCCGCCAACGACGCCATCCAAGATGAGGTCACCTCACTCAACGCCATCTTCGACGAAGGCACCCTGTCAGCCTTAGATGAAGACCAACGACTATACAGTCTACGTCTGCCGTCGCTGCCATCGATAACTCTGCGTATAGAATTTCCAGCAGACTATCCGGATGCGCCGCCATCCGTGCTAGGCACTCAGAGTGTGGGACAAGATGTCCCCAAGGGTATGGGCAGCCAGGCTGTCGATGTAGTGAGAGAAGTGCTGGCAAGGATCTACCAGCCCGGCGAGGCATGTATTTACGATCTGCTCGAAGAGGCAAGAGAGGCTTTGGAGCAAGCGGAAGAGCAAGGAGACATCCAACTACACGATCAACACCAGGACGAGCACTTAGAACAAGACCAAACCTCTCCCATACAGTCCGACCCGGCCGTCGACCTTGGACCGGAGCCACCTTGGATCGTAGCACCCGCCCTTACCGAGAAGAAGTCGGTTTTCTTAGCTCGCGCAGCACCTGTATCGTCAGCAGCACAGGCTAGACAGTACGTCGCGCATCTCCTAGCGACAGACAAGAAGGCTGCTCGCGCAACTCATAACATGACTGCCTGGCGGATCAAAGGCCCCAACGATACAAGCTACCAAGACTGCGACGATGATGGTGAGACTGCTGCAGGATCGCGCATGCTGCACTTAATGCAGTTGATGGATGTTTGGAACGTCATGGTGGTTGTCACGAGATGGTATGGTGGTATACATCTAGGTCCTGACCGCTTTCGCATCATCAACACTACGGCTAGGGAGGCATTAGTCTTGGGTGGCTTCGCAAAAGAAGGCAAAGACAGCGATTCAAAGAAGAAGGGGAAGAAGTAGAAGAGACACATTACATGCTCGCTGTGAGACATCTATCTAGTCTTCACAAGGTCATCCGTTCACCTTCATCTTCCCGGTGCACTGGCATGCTCCCACAGCTTTCACTTAACCCGCAGCTGACTTCTTACATAACGCTTCCAGAATTCACTCGCATTAGATCATCTCTCATTCACTCGACCGCACAGACCGTCGCCTATTTAAGTCGCGCCTGTTTCATATTGCGCACTCACCACATCACTGCGCGTTTCTCTCACTCACAACCACTCAATCACTGGACCTTAAAGAACGAAACTTTCGACACATACTATTGAGAATGAGTTATTCCGGCCGTGGAAATAACAGATCGAGCCACGGCAATCGTGCGGCTCAGCATTTCAGCACACGAGGACAGCGTCTTGGTGGTGGAGGTGGTGGCGGCGGCGGCCATCCGCATCAAACCCGCAGCCAGGCTACAGCGTATGTTCCCCAACGCCCTCGTCAGCCCTCCCATTTTGTGTTCATCGATGAGGAAGATGACGATGACGATGAAGACGATGAATACGAAACTGACATCAGACATTCCAGTCCCCACGGGTTCCACGATGCTATGCACCATCTAGCCGACACTATGGCGGACCTGGACAGCATGCTCGGCTCTAGGCCACAAAGCCAAAGCATGCGAGGTGCTTTCGGTCCAGGATTTCCTTTCGACGACGCAGACGGTGTTCCGGGGTTCGACGCCCTTCATATCGGTATGGGTGCTGCGTTCGATAGTGCATTTGAGGGAGCCTTCAGCCATCCCATCTTCTCTGGAAACGACGTCGCTCATGAGCCTAGAGCTAATAGACCTGGAAGCAGTTTCGGCGCGAACTTTCCATTTGGACCTAGCAGCCACACTCCTATGCAAGTTGGAGGCTTTGGACGAGGCGAAGACCTCCCTTTCCATACTCACCCCACCCCATCACGTCGATCTGGGTACGTTCCAGTCCCTACACGAGGCGGTTTCCCAGTCGAATTTGAGCCTCATCCCCTCCCGGCAGACTACCAACCGACTGAAAGCAGCGAGCAGCGTATCAACAACTTCGTCGCACGCAACACTGAGCCCCTCACTGCCGCCAACACGACTAGCACGACAAACACAGACTGCCCAGTCTGCATGGACAATGCTGCGGCTCATCCTTGTGTCAAGATAAAGGGCATCCAAGGCTGCGAACACATGATAGGACGAGACTGTCTTAAAGAATTCCTGAAACAGCGCCCGGATGACGAGAAGACATGTCCTCTTTGCCGAGCTGTCTGGCTTGCAGAGAACGGCGTTTGGCAGGATTCGGATCAGTGGAGTGAACGTATTGCTCAGGCGAACCTGGGTCATCGTTTCGCGAGGTGGTAGAGATGACACCGCATCGCAACAAGGTAGTTCTGGAAGGTGAGGAAGCGAAAGACGATGAGATCTGTGGGTATAGCTATTGTGCGTCATAACCATGAAGCGGGTCTATGGGTCGAGATGAAGTCGAACTGATTCGTCGATTAGATAGATGGATTAGCATTCATTCTAGGAGATGAAAAAAGATGTGAGAGCTAGCAGGTGTGTCTCAAGTCACAAGAGCGCAAGCAAGCAATGGGGTATTATATTGATGAAATTCTGATACAACATTCGTAAAGGGCAAAAGCCGAACACCGTGAAGTCCACGTGGGCGCTAGGTCTTCTATCCTTCGCATTTCACCCTCATGTCGTCTGCAGATCTGTTCAAATCCTTCTTTGTATGCGGCTGTTCTATTTCGGTGGGCCAGTAGCGAGCAACTGCTCGGTTATCCTCCGAAGTTCGGCCTGGATCTCTGCGTCGAAGTAATTCCAGTTCGGAGGTACCTTGAAGTGGCCCTTAGCCGTATGGTCTTTTCCTCTCCGACTGATTATTGTGGCATATTGAGGAGGCCGGTCGTCTGGGTCAAGCATGGTGAGCTGCATGGATGTCTCGGCGTGCAGTACCTGTTCAAGTTGCCTTATCTTTGCCTCATATTGACGTCGCCTCCTTTCGCCCCCTTCCACCGCGGGCTCAAAGTGGTTGCGTGCAAGGCAGATGTATGTATGTTGTAGGGCGCAGGATGCGAGTACATCATATCTGAGCTTGAGGTAAGATACTATGCTCGACATGCTGGTGACTTCCACGGAGAACCGGGCATCGTCAAGCAGCGAATCCGGGGTCGTAGCAGGGGAGACATCGGCGGTATCCAGCTTGATTACCCACGAGAGCTTGTCGCTAACGGAACGTGCAAAGGTAAATTCTGGATGTATCTTATCATTCTTGATCATCCACTCGCCAGTCTTGACGATCAGTCCTTCTTCAGAGTCGCGCTTTATCGCGGCGATGGTGCGTGGATAGTCCGTCTGTGTTAAAGGAGTCATTCGGTAAGACGTTCGCTTGAGGATGGTCGCGCATGGAAATAAGCAATACGCCTTATTCCAAGAGATGAAGCATGCTCGAGCGGAGCACGCGCAGCCTTTGAGAATTGCGTCGATGGGAGAATGGATACAGTGAAAGAGAGTGACTGAAGTTTCGCCGCCGTCACTAGTCGATGTCTTTTTGAAGCAAGAAAACTACCAGTAGTTAGTCAGGTACGTATGGAAAATGGTGTAAAGCAATGAAGGCCCACCTTTGAGCTGCCAAATTCTACGCTTCCACCCTCGACCCCAAAATCCAAAACATAGCCATCCTGTTTGAGATAGCTAATGAGAGCATCCGCCTTCTCCCCAGCTTGCGTAAAGAGCTGAAGTTCATTCTTGACTTGCAGACGACGGAAGAACTTTCCGGCGAATTTGCTTCCGATCAGAGTCTCGGTCTGGGCCTGCACAGAGCGGAACTTTCGAGTGTCTTTGAAGAATGGCTGCAGGCTTGTGTTCATGTTCCACTGGGTCTTCTTCATGTTCGCGTACAGATCCGATGTCTTTCTGCAGGCTAACTGAACATTGCGTATATCATCAATACCCAGGTAAGATGTGACGAGTGAGTGCGTTGTGTAGCGCGACTCTCGATTGATGACAAGATCCATGAGGTCTGACACTGGATTCGGGGGTGGGCGCGGCAGAGACATGGATTGGACTGTTGGAGGCGAGATTTCTCCGAGTTCTTCCACGCGCGCTTTAGCAGGCTCGTTCGAGGGTTGATTGAGTTGAGCCATCGTGGTCGATAATAAGTGTGGAATGCGGTTGGGTAGATCGATGCAGCCTTGAGAGAAGAGAAACGAATGATATAAGTACTCAAGGCGTAGAAACCGAGTAGGTGAAAGCCGGGATAGATAAAAGAAGGCAGTATACCACGCGGGCCCGTCTTAGTGAAATAGACTCTGAGGTGGATTACGGTGCCTTAAGCTATCGCATCGAGTGCGTGTAAGAAGAGTGGGTTCTTCTCTGCAAGAGGGTCCTCGGCCAATTCACTGAGGTCCTCGATTCGCAACTGGCACTTGAAACCTCTTTCTCCCCTTCCATGACCAGTCTACAGCAGCGCCTAATATGATCGCACCTAGAATCGGCCCCGCATAGTTCATGTTGAACCTGTCCACAGGGAGGATAGTGGGTAGTGGCATCCAAACAAAGGTGAAGACGATGTAGCACAAAGCTCCGGCATTCATGTATGCGCCAGCTGTTCCCAGCTTGAATGGACCCCATGGAATTGGCAATGGCCTCGCGCTCATCGTCCGACTCCAGAGCAGGAACAAGATGGGTAGAAAGTACGACAGGTACAAGCCCATTGCGGGGAGAGATATAAGAGTGTTGAACGCAGTACTCGAAGCGATGTTGATAAGAGCCAAGATACAAACGCAGAGGCCGCTGAGGCACAATGCATTAACCGGTACCCTCAGCTCTGGGTGGACCTTGGCAAAGGTGAGCGAGAACGGTAACCCCTCGTCCTTTGAGAACGCCCAAATGAGACGAGAGACCGAGGCGAATATGTTGAAGAACGATACAAAGATTATGTAGACCAACATGAACATAAACAAATTCGTGGCCGCTTTAGATCCCGTGGCCTGATAGTAGACTTCGATAATTGGTAGAGGCGAAGCGGAGGCGCGATCCACGTCTCCAATCGTGAAGAGAACGGTGATCATATAAAGAAGTTGCATGAGACCGTTCATTGCGACCGTGAATATGATAGAGCGCGGTACCCGGGTATGTGCTTGCTTGACTTCGTCGGACATGTGGATGACGCTATCGAAACCTGAACTCATCAGTACAGCTGCGTCGAGCCAGAACTCTATCGAGACTTACCAGCCAGCGGGTATACAGCAGTGATTAGCCCTATACCCCAGGCCACCGTGGGGTTTCTCCAGCCACTAATGTCGTGGGTCAAGGTCTGGAACACATATTCCATGGAACTCTTTTCTGCCATTACAGCCAAGGTAATGATTCCAGCAAAGAAGAAGGCAACATGGCATATTGCTCCCGCTGTCTCGAGGACGTTGATGATTCTAGGAAGCCAAAGGTTTCCAATGAACGGAACTATTGTCGAAGCGCACATGATGAGTGTCGTGTGCCACCGCTGAACCACGTAATCTGGATTATTGAAGTAGGCCATAGCGGTGACGATATTCGATATTAGCGCTGCATTCGACGTGCAACAACAGATCCAAGCGAAGACGGTGATCCAGCCTTGCATCAAACCAAAGAAGCGATTCCAGATTGGCGCGAAGGCGGCAGACCAGCGGTATTGAGCACCAACTGTAGGATCCATTGAAGACATCTCGGCAAGCGATAAGGCTACTAGCATAGTTCCTACCCATGCGAATATGCTACCATAGACGATGGACGCTGGCCCGCCATTACTCAGTGCGAACTGAAAAGTGAGCGCGGATGCTTCCCAGGAACATTGCATGAGGAAGGAAAAGTTCACAGAAGAGGAGGCGTTGATGTATCGCTGCGAGCCATTAGTGAAAGCCCATGTTTGAGCTGTGGTCATACATCTAGTGCCCCTCCTCCAGAATCCTGGGTGCCATTGGTCCCCTGCTCCTCGATTGCTTGTTGCACAACATTCTTCTCAGCGCTGATAATATTGCATCTCACGTCAATCGGTCTTATTCCTGCCGCATTTGTCATTTCTGTCATCGGTAATCAGGTGTTTCGTAATCCAGGGAGTTACCTTCAGAAGATGGGGCCTATGTTCTTATCAGTACCACCAGCCTTGCAAGATCAGTAACCCAAATGTCGAGCTGCATACATGACCGATGAGAGTACGTTGTACAACGTGAAAGCATGCCTGTTTATTCGGCCGTCTTTTGTGGCGGGCCTACGAGTGGCGTCCACTGCCAGCAGCATGCATGTCATCATGCACAGAGAGCTATGCAGTAGAAGCTGCTGAAGTGCTCGATTAACCAATCTGAAGCTAAAAACAGTATGCCACGGCGCATTGCGTTCAGAATCTCATTTCGTGATGGGTCTACTACCCCCATCACGGCCGCCGGCCCGGGCCTGCTGGGGTAACACGCAGCCATGAACGTCCACCGTGAAGTTGCGGTCTTGAGGACGAGATCAGAAGATGGAGCGCAGCACCCCAATGAAGATGCAGCACTTCAAGAAGAGCGGATCTCCTTGCATGATGGCGGCTGTGGTGGAACCCGGTAGCGACAGCGAATGACGTCATCGCTAGACTCGGGCGGCTCGATAATGGGCGATGGAGAAGCGAGGTTCCCAAAGGCCTTGCGGTACGCCATACAATGCGATACAGAACACAGCCAGTGCCCGAATGGGAGAAGATCAAGGTGGTGTAGATGGTGCAAATTGCAACGTGATTGAGCCGCCCCTTCTTTGAGCGCTTGAGCTAGCGTTTTAGCGTGACCGGCCCCCCGAAGCCTTCAGCCTTCGCAGTCACAGCCCACACACTCCGCCACCCACATTATCATCAAACGACACGCATCCGCCATGCATCAAACCACCGAGGCACCACGGCTGACTACCCTACTGTCTCGAACCTGATCGAGCTCGGAAGCCCCTCCAGACCCCGACAGCTCATGCAATTGAATCTCCGCACTGGCCAGTTGTGCAGTCTCGCTGCCACCCTTCTCATATCGATAAATCTCTTTTGATGGCTGTTCTTCAGGTGCAACATAAGGCGTAGGGGCATCCCGCGCCTTCTTGCGCCAGCGCAGCGCCTTAGCGATGAATATGCCTAATCCGATCAAGGCGATGGCTCCAATCGAAGCTCCAACACCGATACCAGCTTTCGCACCTGTAGAGAGCTCACTGTCACCAGTAGCTATTGGCGTGCTCGACGGAGAAGACGATACCGTGGAGGACGCGACTGAAGATGCGGTCGAAGAAGAGACTAGTGAAGACGTCACGGTGGGTATGGGGTCGCCAAATCGCGCTGCTATGGTGTATCGCGGTGTGGTGCTCCCGTCCGTGCAGCATTGAGTAGTATTACCGCAACACCAGGTTAACGAATCAACGTCACCGGTGCATGGTGTCACCTTGGTATCTTTGCTTCTTTGTAAAGAATCCTAATCGTCGTCAGTTTTGATGGCCTACAAAGAATTCTGCGTCAATTGTACCTCGTCCGAACAGAGTTCCTGGCATCCTCCTTCTCCCCAATTGCTTTTCGTACACGACTCTCGCCAGATGGCCCCGTCCTCCTTATTCTGACACAGTCCGTTCCTCAGTAAGTTATCCCAACGAGCACAGCAAATATTGCTCAGAGGATCGGAGGTGTTGTTAATTTGTGTCGAGTACGCACTGCTTGTGTTTTCCGTGCCGTTGCGCCAGTAGCAGGCTGCCATTACAGGCTGCAAGGAAGCGAGTTGCAACAGGAATATGAAAGAGAAGATTCTGCGCGACATCACGAAATGATGGACTAACTGAAGAGCTGGACAATCGAGGAGACGCGACTCGGGCTGGTTTTAGTATTCAGCAACACACCCCTTTCGCGCATTCGGCTTACGACCGCTCGCGAGGCGCTTGGGGCCAACGCAGCATCTATTAGTCGCAACTACAATTCGCGCGATGAAGACCATTGGAAACAGAGCTTGGGCAGTGAGCGAGGTACACCATTCCGCTCAGCTTTGTGGTACTCAAAGTTGACACCGGTTGGTTAATATGGTAGCAGTAATCTCAGTCACACGTAAGCCTTCGCCCCAACGAATTTGTTCGCCTGTTCTTGGCGCGTATGACCTTCTGGAGGTAGCTGATGCACAACTTGCACTGCACTTGACGCGTTGCGCTGCCTATGTGCCTATTTGTGTCATGCAATCTCAGGTTCCACTTCAGCAATCGACCCGGCTTTCGCATGGACTTCATTTCAGTATCGTGAACACAATTTCTCGGATCACGAACCACATCGCCTGCTCGAAAGTCTTTAGGGATGAGGACTTGTATGTACTCGAGATCGTTAATATATACAATGAAGTTGCGATTACACGCCGTCCAAATTCGTCCGTCAGCACCGCGAGATGCTCCTAATGAGGAAACAGCGAAGGACCTATGTGCAGATCTTCCTCGCCCCGTTTCCGGTGAGGCTCCATTTGGTCTTATTGACAGTGCACGGGTTCTCCGTCACACTGGTCCCATCGACCTTCAACGCGATAGCGATATCCCTGCTGTTCGCAAACTCGGTCCTAGCCGCGAGACGAACCTCACCACCACCACTAACAGTACCAGCCTTGATGTTGACATTGTAGCAGTTCTCGAGCAAAATCGCGTTGTTACCCGTGTTGGCGACATCGATCGTACCGATCTCCGCACCTCCAGAAGCAGATACGCAGAAGATGCCGCGACCGCCGCCACGAGCCTTGACGCGGTTGACGTAGATGTTGGTTGCGTATCCGCCGTTGACCTTTCCGGCTTCGTTGGCGAAACGGAGAGCCGCGTATCCAGTGCCAGCGCCGCAGTTGTCGCAGTCTACGGTGCCGACCTTCGCGTTGGTGACCTTCTGGAGGAGAAGACCGCATTCTCCGACGTTCTTGCCGACGACCGAGCCGATGTCGAGCTTATCGATGTTCCTAAAGATATGAAGTCAGCATATGTCTGGCATGCAGCTTGTGCAGTCATATCCTTACCATGTCTCAACGCAGTGCGACGTGCCGCCGTTGCAGGTGATGGTGCCCATCTTGACATTTGTGTTGGCCGCTCGGTCGCGGTCGAAACGGATACCCATTCCTTCTTTGAGATTGAAGTTGATGGTACCTAGGGTGAGGTCTTTGGTGCCAGAGAAGCGCATGCCGAAATACGTCGAGCCGGCCATGGTGAGGTACGGAATCTTGACGCCGGATTGGTCCGTCACTTCAATGTTTCCTCCTCCGCTCTTGGGGGCAGCAGTGATGGTTCCGCAGCCTTCGAAAGTCTTTCCGCTTGTGATAGTGATAGTGCTAGCTCCGATGTTACCGGATGCGATGACGGACACCCGCTGTCCACTGCTGATGCCATCGAGAGCGCGTTGGATAGCTAGACGGTAGTCGGAACCGGTGTATAGGTTTGTCGAACCCTTGGTCGCGGTGAAGGAGCTGCCAGAGCCAGTGACTTTTGCGTCGGGAGTGCCGGAACCGCATTGAGCGGACGCAAGGGAGGCAAGCGCCAGCACCGCCGTGAGACCAGAGAACTGAACCATCTTGATCGCTCAGGTGAAGTAAAGAGTGAGGAAAAGATGCGATGTGGTTGACGCCGCTATTAGACCGACGAGATGCGCACTCCTTATACAACCCAAAGGCCATGGCGCTGCTCCACTCCCGCACTCCTCCCTCCCAAATGATACCAAGCCCTCGATATGACATCCATCGGACCACCCTTACCAATTCGGAGTAAGATGCAAAACAGCGAAGACTATGAGTAAACCACCTGGCCGTGTCAGGCACACGCGTTTCTCATCCCTAGCCCTCGCCGCAGTCCTGCCGATCAAATGCAACACCAGTTTTCGAATATACCACCTATCATACCAGGCACTCCAAACACTACCATGCCATCCCAAGGCCATTGGCGCGCGCGCCACTCCCGTTTCATGGTTTCAGCTACACCCAGAAAGTACGAAGCTCGACAGATTACTTACACCCTGGGATACTCAAGAGAAATCTCCACCACTGTACGAGTCCGGAACATTGTACCTGCAAGCAGCACTAAGTGCCTATCTCATTTGCGTAGACCTTCCGCTCAACTGCACACATGATGTTGTGCGTTGTACGCAACAACCAATTCAGTGCATCTCTGCCCTTGTACCTGTTGGTTACAGTTTAAGTGATCGTCCGGGGTGCGTCTTCCCCCGCAAAACAGCCGTTAGGCGCATCACACGACGGCATCGACTCGGGTTGATTCACTCCGCAGGTGCTTTCTTGGCGAAGTATTTCTCCGCCGCGATCATCTGTGCATATTGTTCCGCTGCCAAGGTACCAAGGTCAGCCATTTTGTTTCATCGCTTTTGTAATGGGGTCAATGAGAGGTTTCGCACTGTGTTCTAGAACGAATCGATTGTAGTGCGAAAGTAATCATTTGCGATTCATCTAGGTGCGCAAGAAAAAGATGTCGTAGATACATTACCGAAATGCGCGATCCCTATGCCGAAAACAGCCTAGTGTACTGCTAGAGCATCCCTACTCGAAGACATCACTCACGTACCTGGTCTCCTTGACCTTCTCCAGCCATTCCAGAGCATCGTCTTCCGTCTTGCCCGGGAAAGTGTCCCTATAGATCTTCATACACATCTCCGCGGTGCTCTTGGCCAACTTGCTCGCACTACCGCAGATGAAGACCTTCGCGCCACCTTCCCCGAATAGCTCAGCTAGCTCTTTCCGCTCGTCCCACATGCGGTCCGGCACGCGTTGCGCTTTCTGTCCCTCGGGGGCGACTTTGGAGAAGCAGCCGCGTACGCTGACTACACCATCAGCCTCCCACTGCTTGAGCTCGTCGGAATAGATGAAGTCCTTTTCGAAGTGACGACAGCCGAAGTAGAGGATCGCCGGTCCGACCTTCGCGTTGCGGGCATTCTTGATGGTTGCACGCTCCTGGATGAAGCCGCGCATTGGAGCGAGACCTGTTCCTGCGCATACCATGATGATTGGTACAGTCGGGTCGGTAGGCAGATGGAAGTTGATGTTCGTTGGACGCGGGAAGCAACGAATCTTCTCGCCTGGCTCTTGACGCGCTAGGTACGTCGACGCAACACCGTGGAAGCGGCGATTATCTCCACTCCACGCGGCCTCGTCGTGAACGTCGTAGGTTAGAGAGGCAATCAAACGCTGGACGGTAGTTCCTTCGGGTGTTTGGATGAAGTCTACATTTGCGAGGGGCGAAGAGGAGACACTGTATTGGCGGGGAGACAGCGGCTTTAGCGAGTCAAGATAGACTGCGAAGGGTAGCTTGCAATCCGAATGGTCTTCGAGAACGTCCAAAATGCTGTATCGCTTGGGTATGACCTCGTTCTTGTATGTTTCGTCGCTTGCTAACTCTAACAGCTTGGCCCTTTTGTTTTCCGGTGTGGCTTCGGCAAGAGTTTGCAGCTGCTTTTGCGAGATGGGCGTGCTTAGCTCTACACGTGTCATTAACAAATCGAAGATTGAGGTAGGAGCTTCGGTCGCGATGAACGTCTTGCTGGTGCCCGTGATGGCGATATTGTCATCAGGAGATAAGTCGAAGCGCTTCATGACTCGCCTCACATTGCAGATGCTGTTCATCGGCAAGATGACGATGTAGTCACCGGAGCGATACGATGTGCCCGGCGGTAGCTCAATCTCCATGTGCTTCTTGGTAAGACCAACCTCGCCGCCACCTAGGCTTTTGTTGGCTTTCACTACACCGTAGCCGATGTCTTTGCCTCCGAGGTATGTAGCAAACTTTGGAGGCGTGATATCGGCCTGTAACTGCCCCCCAAGTACCTCAGTGGTGGTGCCGCTCGACTTGCGCAGATCAATCCACATCTGCTCGGACCACTTCTCCCACGGACCCATGATATCTCCTTTCACATTGACAAGACCAGTTTCTGTGAAGCGTTTAGCCCCCATCTTCTCCAGCAATTCGTCGGTGAGTTTGGGAACACGATGGTACGTATGGGTCCAGTCGCTATTGCCGACCCCAAAGACGGCATACTGAACTCCCTCAAGCAGCTTGGATGTTGCATTGTTCTCCAGCCAAGCAATGAATTTCTTCGCGTTGTCTGCTGGCTTTCCTTCATATGAGGGCTCGATGATGACAATTGGCTGGTCTTTGGGGATGTGTTCAGTAGCCGAGTCGAGACTGGCGACATTCGCCTTGAACCCGAATCGGGAGGCGTTGGTCTCCAAGTCTTCGGCATAGGATTTGCATGTACCGGCGTTCGATCCGTACAGTATGGTGATCGGCTTCGCATCCCTGGTAGGTAAATTCACTTCTTTGGCCTTGCCAGGTCCGCTGTCGTTGGCTTCCTTGGTAATAGGTGCACCGCCTCCAGTTCCACCCAGGCTAGCCATTGTGCGTCCAGGACGTCTGCGGACCTTGATCTTGAGATCCTTTGGCTTTTGTGTAATTGTGACCGACACATCTGGTACACAAAGTTAGCGCTGTCACACTCAAGGACATGAAAGCACATACGGAGCTGGTATCCGGGGTCCGCGAGCTCAACTTGGAACTTCTGTAGGATGAGTGCGACAACCATGATCATCTCCTGCTCAGCAAACGTCCTGCCAATGCAGGCGCGCATACCATCACCAAATGCCTTCCATGAGTTCGGTGGAAGCTTCTCCCAACCACCGTCCAGGAAACGCTCGGGTCGGAACACGTCCGCGTCATCGCCATACACTTTAGGGTCGTGATGCAGTCCTTTTAGGTTCATCAAGATCATGTCCTTCGGCTGCACTTCGTATTTCCCCTTACAATTGTTAGATGTCAACTATAGTAGCCATGAGGTGGACGTACCGCGACTTTCGTAGGCTTCAGCGCATGCTTTCCATTGATTGCAATGGGGCCAAGGAAACGCAGCGCTTCGTAGATTGCGAACTTGATGTATTCAAGCTTTGGAATATGTTTCAGCTCTAAAGGACCGTCTCCGAGAACTTCATCAACTTCTTGTTGAGCTTTCAGGTATTTGTCTGGATTTCTGAGTAGGTGGTAGAACAAGAAACCCAGAGTTCCGCTTGTAGTCTCATGGCCTGCAACCAGGAAGGTTACCATGTTATACCGCACGGACTCTTTCGTCATCTTCTCTCCAGTCTCCTTGTCTACTGCCTCAAGCATGGGGTTGAGAAGGTCCTTGGCATCTGGCTGAGGATGAGCGATTCGATCAGCGATAATCTGGTCGCATAGATCATGCATCTTCTTCACGTTGTCCTGGCGATGGGCTTCGGCAAAGACTCGGAGTTTGTTCTCGATAGACGTGCGTGTGGCTCGTCTGCCAGACTCCACCAAAACCTCCACCATTTGGTTGATGAAAGGATGCGCACTATTGCTGTAGAAGTTATTGAACCTGTAGCCAAACGCGCACAGCCCGATCATATCGAATGTCAGCCTTGAAGTAGTTAGTCATGACATCGTTTGGTAAGAGATGGGTAATATTCACCTTGTGAAGTCATCGGCGCATTCTATCTCATGATCTGGGCCAAAACGGTCCCACCGGAGCAGCATCTGCGTCGAAATGTCCATCATGCCGTCGAACATTTTTCGGATACCCATTGGCCCAAACACGGGCATCAACAGCCGATGAGCAACACCCCAAGCCTAGTGCATATATTAGTACATCTACTATCATAGTCGAGATGACAAGTGTACCTTTTCGCCGGGATAAGCTGTGAACAGGCCATCTCCGGTCAAAGCTCGCACCTCATCCAGAGTAGCATTGATGGGCTTTTCGAACCGGTCACCGTCGCAGCAGTCGTTGATGGTGTCGTATGAGGACACAACGATGACTTTGCCGTCGCGCCCTGGGAACTGGAGTTGGTAGATCTCGCCATAGATATCCGCAAGTCGTTGGAAGGAGCCTGGAGCGTCGTTCGGATCGATCTCAGCGAAGTTTCCTACGAATAGATGTGGGGGAGGCTGAGGAATGGGCAGAGAATCTGATGTATCGGAGGCCATCGTCGTGGTCTATGTGATGCAAGGTTAGTAGGGTGGTGACAAGACCGGATGTTTGGTTTCCAAGGAGCAGGAAAGACCGAAGGGCTTGGATTCAGCTGCTCATTCCTGGGAAAGAGCTGGGCTACATATACACGGGTAGCAACACAGCGCAGGACATGTCAGCCTTGGGACGTCGGCCTCCCATGGCAGCCCTCGACCGAGCCTTGCCATTTAATGTTGCCTAGTTGCTGACTCCGCAGGGATACAGAGTCCTTTGGTGATGTAGTTACAGCCAATGGGGTCTGATTGGACGTCACACTGTCCGTAGTCAGCAAGTTTGCGTTCAGCTCGGCTGTGCCAGCCACGCGATAGGCTCCTGTATCGTGATGCATGGGAGCACGACAGCATGCCGACGCTGCGCCTCGTGCGAACTGGTGACCGAGAGATATTGCGCGCGACTTAGCCAGATCACAGTACGCAGTAGCCTTCGTATGTCTAGAAACTGTCTACCGAACGGCCCGAGGCGCAGGGCCAACGGCCTGTCCACCCCGCGCCACGCCGTAACACGCGCAGCGTCTGTTGTTGAGAGCACCAGCGGTTCATCAGACGTCTTGGAGATTCGGCATCTGATGAACTGATGTTCTCTGAGTTGTCAAGGTTTGCTCGTTGGGGTAGTAGACGGGAAAACATCGACGCAAACGCTGTTCCTGGGTTCGTGAACACGGCGATCGTCGCGTCTTCGCGTGACAGGGCGCTTCATTGAGCTCAGCAGGATCATTTTAACATCCTCGCCGTACTGATACTATGAGCTTTAGTGGTTATGCAACATGCACACTGTGTAGACATGTCGCAAGGCTGGACGGTGGTGTTGTGCAGGACGCGCCAAACCTCGGCCGGCTCAAGCGGCCGAGCGAGGCGCCGCTTGCAGCCGAAGAGTACGAAGGAGCTCGTATTGCAGCGTCGTACCGAGTGTTCACCATAAGGACGGTGCATGTGTAAAGACGCATAATAAAGTCACAGTATCAAGACTCGACACCAGTTTTTCCTCAGCTAGACGGCATGAACTATATGTAATGAGGCTGACAAGCGTACATATGAACATCTCCTTCACCGATGCTTGTTGAACATAATCCCGATCCCCCTGGCTGTTGTACCATGAACTATGGTTAATCTCCGTCACGATCTTTCGTGATCTGGGGTGTTCCTCAAGCGCTCAAGACGCGGATGCCTTGGCCTCCTTCTTCTTCTTCCAGGCAGCGATAGTGGCATCGTCAAGGTGGATCTGATTGTAGGTGACGATGTAGTTACTACAACCGAGAGCATGGCGGGTATACTTGCTAGTTGCTTCGCCGATAACATAGTCGATCGACTCGCTAGCCTCGAGATCTATCATACCCGAGCGATCGAGGAAGTCAAGAGCAGGGTTGTACATGCTCTTCAGTTTGAAGCCACTGGGAGCTTGACCTTTTGAGAAACGGATGTAGATAGTGAGACTCTGGGTACCGATGTCGAAGGTGAAGTCCACGCGAGGTTGTAGAATGGTGGTATCGCAAACTGTCTTCAGCCAGTTTTCATTGGTGTTGGCGAGGAAATGATTCAATGCCGTGAGATAGTGGTAGCTCCACCTCACTTCCCACAATGCTTCATCCCAGGTGTCCTCGTGATCGCAACCATTGTCACATCCGCAGTGGATGCTGTGGCCACATTCGATGCACGCCATGTTGGACACATCGTCTTCCAATACCCGACGGGAGATAAACTGGATGGTGAGATTTCGGTAGCGGGCGCGTAGACGAATCAATAGGTTGATGTTTGTCAGAACACCGTCCATATATTCTTCGTCATCGTCGTCATCTTCGTCGGATTCATTGCCGATAGATCCGTGGTCCCACGAGATCAGCAGGAGTTTCGGACCATTCTGGTGATCTGTGACCTTGGGGAAGTACGTGTTGATGAACTGAGCGACTGTTGGGAGCTCCATGCGGAAGCAAGATTGACGAAGCCACATAGGCCGGTACTCCGTCCGGATCTGCTTACAGACCTGGGTGAGCGCACGGTAGCGCAGAGTGCTCGATACATGCGGCACAGTGGTACTGTCAGCTGCAGGCTTGGTGTTTCTGATCAGAAGCGGTGGTGCGAAATCAACGTAATTATCATAATCATCATGCAACTCTTCTTCGGCGTAGTGGTATATGCGATTGCGGATCTCTGCAAAGGATTAGACAACCAAAGCGGTATTCAGGTAACAGAGAAACATACCAGCAGGCAGTTCGAGGAAACGGCAGCGAATGGCCGCAGTCTCGTTCTTGGCCTCGTCGCCTGACTTCTTATCGTCCTGCTTACTGCTGATCCCCTTCTTGCTGTTGTTTGCCCGGGAGACGTGACCTCCGCACCTTTGTACTGGTCAGCTAAGGTGTAGGACAATATATGAAGGTACATACGCGTTGGAAGACATCTTCGCTGTGCGACCTGAAGCACCGTAGAGAGGGGAGTGCAGTCTTCAGAGTTGATGTCGAGTGGGGTTGGGTAAACAACAAGAACAGGCAGCGAAATGCGCCTTTGTTAGTCGCGGAAAGGGCGCACGAGCGTGACGCGATTTCCCGTGACCAATGACGCAGTGTGCCTGCACCCTCTCATGAGCGCAGACCTCTCGGAAACCCCTAGCCTTCCGTCTTGAAACACAAATCCCATTCTAGAGGTGCTCTTTGAACTCTAGGCACTCAAGCGAAATCCTTAGCCCTCGTTTCCATCTTGGTGCGTCCTACTCGTCTGCCAGTCTTATTTCCAGTAGGCAAAAGGCCCTTATCCGCGTAGGCTCGACGAAGAGGTCCTTGCTCCCTAAAGTTATTCACGAAGAGGTTTGTACCCCTGGGTGAATCGTACTAACGCTGCATAGACACCAGCATGCGAGAACCACGGCGTGGGGGCAGTGACTGACAGTGTTGCGTGTTTTCACCTCAAGTGGTTCCTTAACTGAAACCATGCCCGGCGCCGTGGTGCGCAGCGACGACGCATGCAAACAACAGGCGCCAGTGACTCCATCGTCAGGCGTGGCAGTTTGCTTCCACCCAGACGACAAACAGTCACACCGCTGTCTCACAACACATCCTTTTCTTTTATAAACACCCCACGAGTCTCCAATTATCCCACGGCGACTGACAATCTTGTCACTGAAAAGTGAGCGCGGCGGTATGGCTTTGATCTCGACCTGCTCTTATTGGTCGGCTTGGCAGGTGAAGGCGACCACATACCGTGGGTGACAATAGAACAGACAATGGGCCGTCCATACCAGCCACCCGCATTGTTTCTCCTTCACCAGACAGTCCTACTCCTTATGGCGATAAATCTTTTTCAAGCTCTGCTGCAAATTTACCACCGACCTCACTTCCCAGCTACTCCAAACACCGACCTCCAGTCCAAAAGATTACGATCAGCTGCGAGCCGGATCTTTCAGTCTGACAACCACGAAACTGCACGCATTAGCAAGGCATCTCAAGATGTTTGCGCAAGAGTATATCCCTTTTGCGACAGACACAGCACCGTCTACGGACGAGCGCGGTATCCCACAACCCTCCCATCTCACGCGCAAAGCATCATCCGCCAGCAGTGCGTTCTTGCGAGAGCTTCTTGGCCCGGAGATGGCTCTCTCGATCATGCCTCCCGGCTGCCGCACCATCGCCTTCTCGCAGTGGGGTGGCTTCACTGCAGCGCCCGAGCAGGTCACACCGACCGGAGAGCTCAAGGCCTCAGACCTGTACATGGATCGCGGCATGACATCCACCTTCAACCCTCCGACGTCCGAATGGTGTTATCTGGGAGTGAACCAGCCAAAGCCAGACCCCAGATACAACGCGCAGCCCATTCCAGATCTTCGCAAGCGCAAGCGGAACTCATCGACCAGCATCGCGACTGTGAGCGAGCAAGGCGATCAGGGTGCCAGACCCAAGGTAAGGAAATCACTGTACAAACTGCGTGTGAGACAAACGCTGACTTCGTATCTTCGTAGCCAACGACTTCGCCCGTCCGCTTTACTAGGCAGACGCTGAAGCGAGTGAACACCAACTCCGAGCTCACAAGGTCGTTCGAGATGGTGTCCATCAAGGAAGAGAAGAAACCCACGTTGGCCGAAAAGTTCGCGTTCGAGGGACTGAACTGTGAGGATCTTCCGTCAGCATTCGACTCCGACGACGAAGAAGAAGACTACGACATCCGACATGCTCGCTGATGGAAGCATGAGAGCCCCTGAGTATCACTGCCTGCTTCGCGATCAAGGATGGTCGCATAGGGTGGTCTGGGGGTGGAAAGCATCCATGGAACAAAAGCTTATGAGCGCATCGCATGGGAGTCGATTCCGTTGCAACGCTGGTTTCATTGTTCACTGAAGCGGCGCACGACTTGAGCATTTGGCTTGGAAGGTGCGATGGCAAAAGGAGTGCAAGATGAGGCACAATGGTTGAAGATGTCTCGCTTGCCGGCTGGCCCGAGCTCTCTTTGGATTCGATGACAGCATCGATCATCAGCTCTAGCATAACTTTTGGCCTGTACATATACACCCGCCACAACAATCAATTGCATATCACAACCATGGAACGAAGTCTACTACAGTGTACCCGTGCATTCTCAAGATGTACGACCCAAACCTCATGTCGTAATCTGCCCAAATGCAGACCCTCGGTGATCGCGTCTGCACGACAGGCACGCTGCCTACACACGACGCGCCCCGCCCTCCTCCAATCCAAACCTCCAAGAACGCGCGATCGCGGCCCAAAGAGCGACGAAGACACGCAGACCGACTTCAGTGCTCTCGATGTCCTCCGGAACACCGTCGCTCCCGCCACATCCATCGACGCGTGCACAGGCGATGGCTTCGCGCTCAACAACCAGATGCGCATTAGCGGATGCGGCATTCTCTTGATAGGCGGAGAAGCATATCGATGGAAGCCCTGGCTACGCGAGGGTAGGAAAGAGGGCACCGTCGCTGAAGGAGGCACGGGCGATGATGCAATGACAGGCAAATTGCTGAACGCGAAGAGGCAATGGGAGGTGCCGGAGCAGGCCTGGGGAGTGTTGGAGTTATTATATCCGAAGCCTGGTACGTTTGTAATCGCCTGCAACGAATGCGTGACGAACGTGGTCTGACAGCGAGCGACAGATCTACTCATCATTGGCACCGGCCCCAGTACCGTGCCTCTCGCACCTGCGGTTCGCAAATACCTAAACGACCAGGGAATACGATTAGAAGTCCAAGACACAAGGAATGCGGCGGCGCAATTCAACCTACTTGCGACAGAGAGGGGTGTAGGACAGGTTGCGGCGGCGCTCATACCCATCGGCTGGAGAGAAGGACGATGATGGTCGAACTAGCAGCGGGCCTACCACTGTCCCGTTGGTTTCCCCAAACGGTCACGCTGTGATGGTTCATTGACGCCTTGGAAGACCTAGGAGCTGGCCTAGACGATCCGGCTGTGAACGACTCCAGGTCGATGGTCCACCCAAACCATGGAGGGTAGTCTTGTTTCCAGGCAAGCTATAATAGGGCCAGCGACACGTCACAGTACGAAGATATGAGCGCGTAAGTCAACGATTTTATGAGACATGCCCGCGAAGTTGAGCACACTCATTGTACTATTTGTATACATACATTCCATTGTTCTCAGATGATCCTGGAACCGACCTGTACATATAAGTCCTTCGTGTCTCACCTTTACCTCTCTCTTTGTCGTACTTTTCATGAATTCCCCAACTCGTTCCTCGCGCTGCTTGCTTGTTCTGACCCCACCAGTTCTATTTGCCAGTCCGGCCGTCGAGCAAACAAACACTGTCACAATCACAGCCGCGACTCCCTGCCCCAGACCGCTCCTTCCGACTTGCGCCTTCTTGACCCACCACGTGGCCCGGCGATATCGCATAACTAGCAAGCCAATGTCGCTTAAATACGTGACCTGCGCACTATCGACCTTTCTTTCCACTCTCCTCAGTCTAATCACTCGAAGCTGTGAACTAATGTCTGACGCTGATATGCACGGAATAAGGTGGGGCTTTGGTAGGCGCGTGGTAACTCCTGATGAGGAAGCAGCCATTGGTGACACTACGCCGCTACTCGGTTCGGAACGCTCTTACCGCAGCGAAGAGGCTGGAGGCGACTTTCCACCAACCATGGATGGCAATGATGCTTCCGCCGCCACGTCTTCAGCAACACCACGTCCGGTGACTCCCTTTGTCGCCGAACTACCGATTATTCATAGCCCATCGTTACCGGCAGTCATACACAGCTCAGGCCCTAGGCTGTCCGTCCTCCAGTCGTTCAGGCTTAGCAAGTTATACCGCAATCGGTTCCTATCGCCTACGGAACTGTCCTGCCATACCGACCACTCCACAGCACAGATGGAGTCGCAAATTCAAAATGACGACAAGAGCCTAATAATCGAAATACTGTCACCCGTTCTCGACCACCTGAAGGAACTGAAGGCGTTGACACCCGAGAGTCTACAGGACCACAATCAGACCCTCAACAACGAGACGCACGCTCAGGTTCTTAAGCAGAAGCTGCTACCGATAGGTCAGCTTATCGTGGACAGCCTCGAAACAGTCCCACTGGACCACCGGGGTTGGTTGGAGGGAGCTATATGCCATCACATCGCCGACAATTACTGGCCGCTGCCTGTCAACTTCTTCACCCATCTGAAGATCCAGGAGAAATACCGCAATGCGCTCTTCAGGTTGGCGCAGCGCACACCTGCCGGAGCCATCGAGCCGCATCCCAACAAGGACTCTCAGCAGCCTCAAGCACCAGCTATCGAGCCTGATCCGCCCCAACCATCGCTGGACCCGAGGGATATTCCGGACACGCCACCATTCCCCAAATCGACCGCTGAGCAACCTCAAGCATCAGCTATCGAGCAAGATCCGCCCCACCCGTCGCTGGAACCGAGGGATGATTCGGATACCACTGCACCATTTCCCGGATTGTCCATTCAGCAGCTACAATCATCAGTCGTTCAGGCCGCTCCGGGCTCTGGGGACTTTCTAGATCTAAACTTTTACGAGTTGAGAGCAGAGGCTATTGAAGAGGCCGATGCGAGGGACTTGGACAACGTATAGTACCCAATGGTCAAGTACCACCTTCTGCCTAGTCTTCCAAGGCTGGACCGAAAGATCCGGAAATGTCAAATGCCCATGTCACTCTTCAATCCTCAATGTACGGGCTATTGGGACGCTTCTTTCGAGATCAACAACAACCAAGTTCAATGGAAGGTAGTGATACCTCATGTACGCATCGTATGTGAAACATTTACTGACTTTGTACATTCATCCTTAGGCTAAGCCTGATCCTAACACCATCCTTTACAACTACATGCTGCCCCCCGATCATATGACCAAATGTGTCATACCATTATTTGCGACACGCGGCCTGCTGGCAGATCTTGAGCTCGGCGTGGCCACGAAGATGAGCCA